TAAAACAAATAAAATTGTTTTCAAATTTTTTAAAAATAGAAAAAAAGAGAAAGTGCCTCGAAGACAGGCATTCTTGGCCTGTTCTTTGTATCCCCAGCACTTGGCACAAGGCCTAGTAAATGCATGTCGATTGACTAGCTCTAGAAGCAGGTAAGGAAAGCAGGCTACCTTCCTTGTCTAAATAAGGAGACGGAGGCCCAGAGAGAATGAGTGACATACAGACAAGCCTCCCAGCAGGCCCAGCTCTGGACCCCAAGGCCAGGATTTCTTCTACTACTCCTTTCAAATCTCTTGAACCCTCCAGGCAACCCTGAGTCTCCCCTCCAAGTAGAAGTTCGAGGTCTCTGTAGGTAATGTTTTACAAAGAAACAGACAAGGATAGGAGGATAATCCCAGAGTCTCTGTCACTAAAGAGTGACACGTACTGGAGGAGGGAGGTGGGGGAGTACACACACCTGGGAGCTGGGGAAGAACGGTGAAGGTGATGCACAGGGGGATATGGGGCTTGAACAGAAACCACTCAAGTGCATACTGACAGGTATACTCAATTTCTTTCATACAGTAACTATGACAAAGGGCAAGAATTATAATAATTAACATTTCTATCATGCTTTATGGTCTGCAAAGCACTTTACATATATTATCTTATATTCTCAAGAAACCAAGTCCAGAGGAGTAGATCCAGTACCTTCCAAATTCATTTCTACACACACACACACACACACACACACACACACACACACACACACACAGAGGCATGCCTTGGAAGACAGAATCTAGCTGCTCTATCCCCAGATTTTTCCTTTGCTTCCTTCACAAAGACAAATTTACTGTGGGGGAAGACAAAGGGGACGATTCCAGAAAAGAGAGTGAAGTTATCTTCTATTAAGCACTAGTAGTTGTCTTTTTCAAGCAAAATCTCCAGTCAGTAAGTAAATCATTTTTTGAAATTATTCAACTATAATTTAGATTCAAAACAAATGACTAAAAAGTCTCTAGAAACTTACTTTCTTTTCAATAGAAGCCTTTTTCCCAGAAATATTTTACCTTTAAAAATACCTGCAGTCTCTACTGGTTGCATCCATACACCCACATATCAATTGCCTAAGTGCTCCATAATTGGTAGACGCCTTGCCTAGTTGAGAAATGCCGGCTGCCGTTCTGTTTTCAGCCCTTTCAAATTAGCACACACATACATACATACACACGGGAGGCAGATAGGTGGCGAAGTAGATAGAACGCTAGGCCTAGAGTCAGGAAGACCTGAATTTGAATTTGACCCCAGACACTTCCTAGTTGCGTGACCCTGGGCAAGTCACTTAACCCTGTCTGCTTCAGTTTCCTCATCTGTCAAAAGAGCTGGGGAAGGAAATGGCAAACCTCCCCAGCACCGTTGCCGAGAAAACTCCCAATGGGGTCATGAAGAGTTGGATATGACTGAAAAAAATGACTAAACAGCACAAACACAAGAGCTTCTTCCAGTCCCCACAAAGAAGCCTTCTAAACACCCCATAGAATAATGAGAGCAAACATTTCTATCAGGCTTTAAGAAATTGAAGAAAATGGAGAGATGATTCAATAGAATCCCTTCACTTTACAGATGAGGAAGGGAGCCCAGAAGGGTTGAGTTACTTGCCAAAAGTCGCAGCAACAGTAAGTAGCAATGCTAGGATTCAAACCCGGATCTTTGTACCTTATCCAGCACTATTTTTCCACTTCACCATATAATATTATACTTGCAGTTCACTAAAACCCCCATTTTTTTTTCAAACTGCTCTCTATCCAATTTTCCCTAATGCAGTATATGAGAAGTCCATTTTTTAAATCCAACTGTAAAAGTTTACATTCATGGCAATAAAAGTGCAGCTCATTTTATCTATCCCAATGTTGTAGCCTGTCTCTAGTCCTGGATCCTGTCAGTCATCAAGGGTGCTGGCTATCCTCCCACCCACATCCACCCCTGCTGACATGCATCTCTAAATCTGTCCTGTATGCCATCCACACCTCGATCCAAGTAATCAAAAAACCTGGTAAGTACCACGGGTCCAAGCACAGCCATCAGGGCCTGCCTTCCAAGCTGACATCACTCTCACTCACAACTCCCTTTTGAGGCTGGTCATTTAAGCACTTCTGATCCCACCAAGTTTACCATCAACCAGTGAAGGAATTAGCATAGGCAAAGCAGATAATATGATGGAATACTTAGAGAATCCTACAGAATCAACGAAAAAACTACTTGAAATAATATAACTTTGGCAAAGTTGAGGACATAAAATAAACTCACACAAATCAGTATATTGGTATATTACCAATAATCATTATATATTACCAACAAAGCCCAACAGCAAGAGATACAAACACAAATTCCCTTTAAAGTAACTATAGACAATATCAAATATTTGGGAGTCTACCTGCCAAGACAAACCCAGGAACTATACGAACACAATTACAAAACACTTATCACACAAATAAAGTCAGATCTAAATCATCAGAAAAATATCAGTTGCTCATGGGTAGGCTGAGCTAATATAATAAAAATGACAATTCTACCTAAATTAATTTACTTCTTCAGTGCCATACCAATCAAACTACCAAAAAAAAATATTTTATAGGGCTAGAAAAAATAATAACAAAATTCATCTGGAAAAACAAAAGGTACAGAATACCAAGGGAATTAATGAAAAGAAATGCAAGGGAAGGTGGCCTAGCTATACCAGATCTAAAATTGTATTATAAAGCAGCAATCATCAACTACTTGGTACTGGCTAAGAAATAGAGTGGTAGATCAGCGGAATAGGTTAGGTATACAAGATGCAGTAGTCAATGACTACAGTAATCTACTATTTGATAAACCCAAAGACCCCAGCTTCTGGGATAAGAAATCACTACTTGACAAAAACTGCTGGGAAAACTGGAAGAGTATGGCAGAAATAGGCATAGAACAAAATCTTACACCATATAAGAAACTAAAGTGAAAATGGGCACGTGATTTAGATATAAAGGCTGATACTATAAGCAAACTGGGAAAGCAAGGAATAATTTATCTGTCAGATTTATGGAGAACAGAAGAATTTATGACCAAACAGGATATAGAGAACATTATGAAATGCAAAATGGATAATTTTGATTACATTAAATTGAAAAGTTTTTGCACAAACAAAGCCAATGCAACCAAGATTAAGAGGGAAGCAAAAAACTGGGAAAGAATTTTTACAACCAGTGTCTCTGACAAGGGCTTCATTTCTAAAATTATATATTTTACCAAGTCAACTAAATCAAACTTCATTTTTAGTCAAACTAAAGTCAAACTTTGAATTAAGTCAAATTTGTAAGAATACAAGTCATTCCCCATGTGAACAGCAGGTTTCAGATGAAGAAATTAAAGCTATCTATAGTCATATGACAAAATGCTCTAAATCACTATTGATTAGAGAAATGCACATCAAAGCGACTCTGAGGTACCACATCATACCTATCAGATTGGCTAACGTGACATAACAGGAAAACGGTAAATGTTGGAGATGATGTCGGAAAATTGGAACACCAAAACATTGTTAGTGGAGTTGTGAACTGATCCAACCATTTTGGAGAGCAATTGAGAACTATGCCCAAAGGGCTAAAAAACTGTGTATACCCTTTGACCCAGCAATACTACTTCTAGGGTTATATCCCAAAGAGATCATACAAATAGGAAAAGGACCCACATGTACGAAAATATTTATAGCAGCTCTTTCTGTGGTGGCAAAGAATTGGAAATTGAGGGGATGCCCATCCATTGGGGAATGGCTGAACAAGTTGTGGTACATGAATATATGGAATACTATCGTGCTATGAGAAATGATGAGCAAGCAGACTTCAGAAAAAACCTGGAAAGATTAATATGAACTGATGCTGGGTGAAATGAGCAGAACCAGGAGAACATTGTACACAGTTAACAGCCACGTTGTTTGATGACTAATATTGATAGACTTAGCCCTTCTTAGCAATGCAAGGATCCAGGACATCTCCAAAGGTCTCATGATGGAAAATGGTATCCACATCCAGAGAAAGGGCTATGGAATCTGAATGCAGATCAAAGCAGACTATTTTCTCTCTCTTTTTTTTTTGTTTCTTCTTTCTTGTGATTTTTCCCTTTGGTTCTAATTCTCCTTTCCAACATGACTAATGTGGAAACATGTTTAATATGAATGTATATGTATAGCCTGTATCAGATTGCATGATGTCTTCGGAAGGGGGAGAAAATTCAGAATTCAAAATCTTATAGAAATGAATGTTGGAAACTAAACATTAATTAACTGGTTGATTTTAAAAAAGGAATAAAGTATACTATCAACCAAACAATCAACAAAGACTGATTAGTGCCAGCCCCACCAATTAACACTTTGCCAAAGCATGCTCTGTTTAAAAGTACACGTGCAACAGAATTGTTGTTGTTCAGTCATTTCAGACCTGTCCAACTCTCTGTGATCCCATTTGGGGTTTTCTTGGCAAAGATACTGGAGTGGTTTACCATCTCCTTCTCTAGCTCATGTGACAGATAAGGAAATTGAGGCAGACAGAGTTAAGTAACTTGCCCAGGGTCACACAGCTCCTAAGTGTATGAGGCCGCATTTGAACTCTGCACTATGGAGCCCCTTAGCTGTCCTCACCTGCTTCCTAGCATTCCCATTGCCAACCAAGTGCCTTTTTGCCAGGCTATCAAAACAGAAACAGTAGCAGCTATGTGGAACAGTGGATAGAGCACTGGCCCTGGAGTCAGGAGGACCTGAGCGCAAATTCAGCCTCAGATACATAACACTTACTAGCTGTGTGACTCTGGGCAAGTCATTTAACCCCAATTGCCTCATCAAAAAAAAACAAAAAACCTTTAAAAGGAAACAATTTATCCTGCTTGGCTCCCCTGGGGTGTAAAAGTATAAGTGTACCTTCTGAAGGCTTTTCCCTGGCTGCCAAGCTCATGCAGAAACCACTGGATATTAACAAATGACCATGATACTGACCTCGGACCATTTTGAGCCAGTCTACATTCACAGGCCTTAGCTCGTCAGGATCTGTGCTGACTCGGCCAGGAATAACGCGTTCAAAGAATTCTAAGTCCTCTTCAGACACCTTGGCGAAAGGCAGCCTCCGCACAGGATACCGGTCACAGGTCAGCATCACCTCCTGGGCACCGGCCGCGGTCACGCAGAAATCTCGCTGGTGGAGGGCTTTAACAAACCTGCCATTCCCAAAGCTGCAGGCTCTGGAGGTGCCTTTTTGCTCAACCCCCAAAAGGGGGGGGGGCCCAGTCACTCCCACCAGTGTTCGCTTGTGGCCATTCACACACCATCTCATAAAGACCCCCAGACGCCAAGCAGGATGCCGTGGGAAAAGGCAAGGGACTGCCATGGTTGCTCTGCAATATAAGGGGAGAGAATCAGCTCCTTGTTGAAAAGCCCCTAGTCAGCACACATACCCTTACGAAAAACAAAAACCCACGGTTGAAGCCGCTAAAAGTAGACCTACTAAGTAGTCCATGAAAATTTGTAATCTATCAAGGGGGCTACCTCCCGAGGTGCCTCATTGGACTGGAGAATGGCCTGCCTGCTCAGAAGACTCCACTTGCTCCCTCCTCCTTCCAGCAGTAAACACAAAATTCCCTCTTGCCTTTTAAAGCCCTTCCCAAACTGGCCCCTTCCTATCTTTCCGGCCTTCTTAGACATCATTCCCCTTTACTGCCTGACGATCCGCGACACTTCTTGGCTGCTCTTCACAGAAGACAGTCCCAGCTCTGGACGGTGCCCACAACGCTCTGCCTTTTCAATAAGGGCTCCCCGGGCCCCTGCAATCTTCTCCCTCCTTACCCCGGCCTCCTGGCTTCCAAGCACTCAGTTCAACTCCGTCGTGGAGGAAGTCTTTCCTGCCACCACCCACCCACACCATCTACTCGGTATAGACCTTGCATGTCCATAGTTGTTTGTTTGTTGTTTCCACCTTTCCGGTGAGCTCCTTGGGAGCCCAGACCTTATTTTTGCCTTTCTTTGTACCACAGTGTCTGGAGTACAATATGTACTTAATAAGCGATTGATCGTTGACTGACCTAAAAAAATGGTGAGACTCAAATGAAAGAATGCATGGGCAATGCTTGGGAAACCTTGAAGTGCTACAGAAACATTGGTGGTGGTTGTCATCATCATTATTATTATCTTCATCATCCCATAGTAATTAGGCACTGGGAAGGTGGAATAAAACGCCCCATCATAAATGGCAGAGATCTACAGCAGGAAGCTACCTCAGCCAGATCTAATTCAACCCCACCCCCATCGCCTCATCTCTCAGAGGAGGAAAATGTGACCCAGAGAGATTAAGCCAGTTGTCCAAGGCCACACAGGCAATGTCAGAGGTGGAATTTGTTGGAGGGTTTTCATTAAAAAAAAAAGATTTCAATCCATGAACATTTGCCTTCTCTTCATCCCCTCATTGAGAGAAATAAAGAAAAAATCCCAGTAATAAACATGTATACTAAAGCAAAACAAATTCCTTCATTGGCCATGTCCCCCAAAAGGTCTCATTCTGTACAGTACTTTCTCCTCTCGGTTGGGAGGTTCGGGTTATGGGTTGGTCCTTGTGAAAGTCCTTCCAAGACCCGTCTTTACAATAATGTTATTAATGTACAAACTGTTGTGCTCACTTCACTCTATGTCAGTTCATTCAAGTCTTTCCAGGTTTCTCTGGGAATTTGTTATTATTTATTATAATTCTTTCTTCATTATTCCATTCCTTACAGCACAATAGCATTCCATCACATTCATATACCACGACTTGTTCAGCCATTCCCCAATTAATGGGTACTCACTCAGTTTCCAGTTCTTTGTCACCACAAAAAGAACTGCTATAAATATTTTCTTTTACCTCTTTGGGGCACGGACCTAGCAATGGCATCGCTGGCCCAGACGGTATGCCCAGTACAACAAGTCGGGGGCATAGTTCCAAAACCTCCCAGAACTGTGTCTATCAGTCTGCCCGTTTTCCCGAAGCCCCATCCGACATCTGTCGTTTTCCTTTTTTGTCAACTTTGCCAAATTGAGGAGGTGAGAGTGGTTTTAATTTGCATTTCTCTGATGATCCCTGATGTGGTACTTTTTTTATTTTGCTATTAACAGCTTGGAATTCTTCCTCTGGAAAGTGCCTGTTCCTACCCTTGGACCACACAGCACTTGGGAAACAGAGGTGACATTTGAACCCAGAGCCTAAGGCAGAGGTAGTCCTCCGGCTCAGGGACGCGGCGGGGGGCGGTGGTGGGAGCGGGGGGCGGTGGTGGGAGCGGGGGGGGGGGGGAGATAGAGTAGCCACACAGTTCCCCCCACCCATAAGCAGAGGAGCAGGAAAGGAGCTGGGAGAGGAAACTGAGGCCCACAGAGGAGCAGGGCGCTGCTCGGGCCCCCCAAGGCGCCAGCAGCCCAGACAGTCCGGGTGGCAGGTGCGGGCGAGAGGACCCTCTCTCGCGTGTTGTGCACAGTCCCCCGATCGAGGCCTTTACCTGGGCCCGAGACGCGGGTCCGCCGGCACTCCAGGGTCCCGGACGCTGGGGTACGCTGGAGCCTCCGCGGGGGGCGGGCCGGGGCCTGCGCACTTCTCACTCTTCACTCCGCCCGCCCCGGCCCCGCCCCGGGCCCGCCCCCGGCCCCGGCCCCGGCCCCGCCCCCGGCCCCGCCCCGCCCGGTCAGAGTGGATTCTGGCCCTGCCCCCTCACCTGGCCTCCCTCCAAGCTCTGTCCACGCCCCGCCCCGCCCCGCCCCGCCCGCCCGGGTCCTGGGTCCGCGACGGAAGACCCCGGATTGCTGCGTCTTTGCTTTGTGCCTTTGGGGGCGTCCCTAGATAGGGGAGTGGGGTTCCCCTCCTTAGGCTGTCTGCTTCAGGAGGGCAGAGGCAGCTTCCCCGGGGTCGCGCTCGCCCCCGGGTCTGGCCCCCAGAGGGCACTTAAGCCGTGCTTGTGGACCGAGTAACTGACTACTAGAGGGCAGCCAGCACCCGGCCCACTTAGCTATCCTCGCCACCCCCACCTCGGCTCTCTCAGCTCCTCCCCTTGGGCCACGCCCCCAACCACCCCTGGCCCCCTCCCCCAGGCCCAGCCTGAACCCCAAGAGCCTTCCTATCCCGGGAGCGCATAGCAAGCAAGGAGGTCTGCTCCCTTAGCTCAGCCCCTCCCCTCACAAAGTCGCCCACCCAATCTCGCCTCCCATCGCCCAGCCACGCCCCCTCAGACCAGCCCCCTAGATCGCCCCTCCCCTATTAAATCCCAGCCTAGCACCCCTAGGTGCTTGCCCAATCCGCCGTCCAGCCCCAACCCCACCCCCTATTCCGGCCCCCTACCTCCTCCCTCTTCAGCTCCCACAGTTTCGGCCCCGCCCCCCAGATGCTCGTCTTCCTCCACCCCCAGTGGCGCCGCGGCTTTCTTGATGGTAGAGGGGGTCACCAGAACACGCTCACTGATGTTGACCCTCAGGGAGCGGGCGGGCCGCCCGGTGGAGAAGCCCACCTGGCACCCACATGCCCAGCTGGATGCAGGAGGAGGGGCACCGCAGGTTTGGAGGTAGCCCTTTGCGCTGGGCAGCGATTGGTCTGCCTGGTACAAGCCCCTCCCCGCTTCATCCTCCACTCAGCTGCCAATGCTCAGGTACTACCAGGTCACCGGACAAACTCGGGCCTGCGGAGTCCCGTCACCTCCACGATCGTCTGGCGTGCATCGCCCACTCCCACCCGTGCCTTTCGAGCCTTCGTGCGCCTTACTTCGCTTCCCTTCCGCGTATTCCACTCCAGGCCCCCTACGCTCCATTTCCAGCCTCCAGGCATTTCCCCTGGCTGTGCACCACACCAGGAATGCTCTCCCTCGCCTCAGCCCCCAGGCTCCGCAGTGATGGCACGTGGTACCAGAAGCCTTTGGCGCTCCAGTCTTCCCCACTAGAATGGGAATTCCAGGAGGGCTTGGCTTGCTTCTGGCTCTCCTCGTGTCCCCAGCACTTCGCCTAGGGCCTGGCAGAAAAGTGCACCCACGGCCCAGGTTTCTTGACTAGACATAGAGGCTCTGTGACATGGGTAAGTCACAGAGCTAGCTGACATCATCTCCCTTCCAGCTCCAAGTCTAGGGTAAGTCCAGTAATGCTGGGCCCAGTGGAGTTACAAAAACAAATTCAAACAGCAGAAATGGCTTGTTCTGATCACGCCTATGGCTTTTGTGGGCATTTTGTAAAAACAGGTCCTTCCAAAACCTCAACATCCTCCACTCTCGGGAAATCAGAGAGCGGGTCTGAGCCGGTGAGGCTGGACCTCCAACCTACATTCTCTGCGCTCTAACTAATCTGCCTAGAAGCAGGAGCTACCTCAAATACTGCCAAGCACAGCGCCCGCCAAAAGCTTCCAGGCAGGCTAGGCTCAGCGAGGGGCCACGGTCCTGGGATACTGTGACCTCCTTCACTTGTATGGGGCTTTCCCAACTCCTTGCCTTTCCTTACAGCTGAGGCTATAAGGTCGGTCGGTTTGAATGGCAATAGCAGAGGTGCCAAACGCTGCCCATGGTCCCCATCACTCCCCCCATCCCTGTCCGGGTGGGGCCAGATCCAGACTAAAATGAAGCCAGGAAACGTGTAACAAAACACACAAGGTGTAATGGACTATAGCTCGTGTTCATGTGTGGTTTCTAAGTCACCGTGTGTGGCCCACAGGGATCCTTATGTACGGCTGGAGGCCTCGGTCTCCGCTTCCGAGTTGACACCACTGGGCACCACCATCTTCCATTCCTAGAGGCAAGGAAGGCTGACGAAGAGGACCCTGTCTTCCATACAGACGCTATGGAGATAGCGAACAAGCCAGGCCTGGAGCCCAGGGGGCTTGTGCCACGAGTTCAGACGAAGCCTTTGACCCAGGACTCCCTAAGAACAAGCCAAGGGTGGGCTCTAGACAGCCCGAGCACCTGGGGAGAGGTAAGACAAAGGCCTGTGTGGAAGGTAGTGCCCCAAGGTGCAAAGGTTACCTCGCACACAGCTTTGAAACTTGACCCCAGGTCCCTGAAACGATGTGCTCTCAAACTTGGTTTTGTTCCCAAAAATATTTTTTATTTATTAAACAATATATCCATTATCTATAACATGATCCAAAAATACAGATATACATCTTTACTTTACATTATTTTTAATAAAAAGATTTACAATATTCTCTTCCATTTACAAAGGGAACATATTTCCTTTGAAAATAAAATGTAACATTCATGTTAAAGCTGCATCATCATCTTTTTTGGATGAAATGTGGTAAAGCTGAAGACACGAAATACACATGGATGTGGAAAAAACATCTTTGTAACCTTGAGTGAATTAGAACCATCTTAGATTTCCCCAGTTTTTCAATCCTTTTCGCAAAGGTGATCAAACTGCAAACCCTGGAACACTAAAAACCTAGGAAACCATGAAACTTTCCAATGCCCAGAATTAAAATTCTTCATTTTGCTTAAAAGGAAAGAGAAAAAACGGAGTCCCTGCCCACTCCCCATCCCCACCCTCCGTGGAGCAGAGAAAGCTGCTCTCTGGCCGGCATTAAAGCCGGCCCTGCTCCTGTGCTGACGACATGATACGCTCTGAGAGGTCACAGAGAAAGAACAAAACAATGAAGTCTGAGCCTGTGACTGACTAGTAATGGTCCCTTTTTTCTAGGAGAGAGAAGCCTCTTGGGCACTTGCTGGGAGACTGTTTTCCCCCCCAACCTTCCCCCCTCCTCGCACTGGCCCGCCCGCCCACAGCTGGAACCGCAAGCGGCGTGAAGGAGGCCCAGCTTTGCATTTCTGGATTCAGGAGCTCCTAAGCTGCCTCCAAGGGGTCAGTTTCTAAGGGGCTTGCTCCAGCCAGCAATTCCACTACAGACAAACACAGGTTTATGGGACTCGATGAAACAAATGCTTGGTTTTTAAAATGCAGCATGTTTTCTCCCAGTAGACAACAGAAGAATTGTTCTAAAAGTGTTAACTCTAATAATCTAAGCATCAAGGAAGGGAAAATCAACTCCTGAAATGTTCTGACTTTTCTTCTGAATAGACTATAGTTTTTACTTGCAAATAAGCACAAAAAAATATGGATAATACATTATACCTGGCTCATATACAGTGTCATAAACTGTGGGATTAAATAGTCTGGGACATTCAAAATGCATTCATTTCAATCAACAAACAGTTATTTAGCACTAAGCATGTGCAGGGGACTGTGCCGGGGGAGATCCAAAGCTTGCCTAAGACCCAGCCTCCGTCCTCAAACCATTCACAGTCCAGCCCCAACCTTCAAAAGCAGCCCTGGACTGCAGCAGACCAAGGAGACCAAGGCTCTTCCCAGCCTACAGGAGACAGACTTTAGGGACAGGCAGAACTGGCCTGGGAGCCCCGCCCCCTAAAACCGGGCTAGGTCTAACCTTAGAGGACTAGGAGGGATGGGGAGAATCCTGCAGGTGCAGGCCCACCCCAGGGATGGGATCATCTACCCCATCAGACTGGTCAGACAGACACACCCGCTCTAGTTCAGAGACTACTGAGGGGCCTTTTCTCTTCCACTCTCTGTCCGTTTGCTCCAAAGTTGTTTGCCTCACATTTTGGTGACGATGCAAAGCAGAATCCTCGAGGCAGAGAGCCTCCCCAGAACGGGACAATGAGAACTGCTTTCTCGTGAGATCACAAGCCCCCAGATGCTGATTACTAAGTCCCCAAAACCCTACACTAATAAGCAAAACACTGTCTACCATGTGGTCAAAGACCAAAGAAGTACACTATTTAACTGGCTACTAAGAAATCAGCAGAAATTCTTTTACTGCAAATTTACTGTACTTACAGATTTCACCATACATACTGGGAAGAAAATCTAGAAAAATATTTTCCCCATAATTTCTACTACTTTTTTCCCTGCTTTTCAACAGCACAGCAACTGACTAGAGTAGATGAAGCATTCAATGAATCACAGAACAGAGTAAGTGGCTGCCTGCCCTGGGCCAGAAGGGAAGGACGGCCACGCAGGCCTTTGCCCAGGCCACTCCCCAAGAGCCCAGAGCAGTGGGTTCCAAACACAGATCTGACCCTGCAGGAGAGGGAGGGGGGAGCAGCTGCCTGATCCCTCTTTTCCAAGAACTGAAAATGCTCAAGGCTCAAACCTAAAGCCTGGACAAAAAGTCAGAGTGTAAACACCACGATTCAATGACTTAAACACCACAATCCTTGGCATGACTTTCTGTCAGAAACACAAAGGCCTCAAACAGAAGGTAGCCTGGATGCGGGAGAATGGGAGAACTCTCAGGAGAATCAGATTCACTCTGCCAATGATTAATAGTATCTTTGTGTCTGAGGTTCTCGCCACCCTCACTCACTAAAAATGAACTAGGTGACAAGGCCGGCAGTGCTCCTGGCTTCCCTCGTGGCCCAGCCCCTTCGAGAGGGAGAATCACAGGTGACAGCAGTGAACGCACCTCAACGGCGTGTTTCCGAGGGACCCTCCTTCTTCGTTAGAATTCCAGTCCTCAATCAGACCGACCAGATTCTAAGAAGAAAGCATTTTTTCCTTCCCTCCTCTTCTATTTCCTTTTTAACCCCTCTGGCTCCATGCTAAGGGTTTCTGGGGTGCTCAGAGTATTACCAGAATTCCAACCCCGTCTGTCTTTCTAGGCATCTCAAAAGTAGCAGAACAAATGTCCAGACACGGAAGTGCTCATTTACAATCTCACTCAAAGGATCATCACGATGGGCTTGTGGTGAACGCCGATCAGTAAGAAGTCTCCCCCAGCCGGGCCAACAGCTCCTTGCCGAGCTGCGGCAGAATTACAGGAATCTACACGTCGTCTTCGATCATCTGAACCCCTTGGATACAGCTCTAACAGTGTGCAACATAAATCAGATATAAAGCCAGGTCTTAGCAGACTGGACTTTCACTTCATAAAACACATCAGACCCCACTATCTTCATGCTAAAACACTAAGCTTGTCTTCACAGTAAAAACTTGAGGAACTTCCAGAGAAATGGGTCATCAGCAGGTCCGAGAGCCTCCATGCTAATGAAAACCCACTTTGCTCCAGAACAGGTGAGTACAGCCCTCGTGAGAGGGAAGGAGTGGAAATTCAAACCAACAGGGCAGTGCACAATAAAGCAGAAATTACTTCCTAACGGTAAGAACCCTAAGACCCGTAGCGTAGCTGGCGGGCGCAGGAGAGAGGCCCTTACCACAAGTAAACACAGTCACTGGCTTCAGAATCGGAGCTGAGGAGATGCACCAGCCCCTGTGGACACGTGAGTTGGTGGAGGGTGTCCTCACTGTCTAGCAGCCGGGGCTGCTCCGCCACCTCTACAGAGAGTCACATCTACGCTTCCCAAGTGATGGCGGGCACTAGGGTGCCAAAGGGGGCATTCGTGTCATGGCCACAGACTTCTTGTGGCTGCCCCATGTTTCCTGATGCCTAATTAGCAAACACCCCATTTGAAGAGTAAAAGTGTTACTGCCCAGTTCAGTGCTATTGGGAATCCAGGTGAAAAAGGAAGGAAAACAAAGTCCCTGTGGCAAATTTACCTACAAAAATCTCTCCCTGTAAAAGAGAGCTGGTTTTCTGCTTTTTGTTTTGAAATACCAAGAATTACAACTGGCCGACACCAGACCAAAACGATAAGGTAGTTTAAAAATAAAGGTAAGCTATTACAACAGTAAGGGAGGAAGGTATTAACTGGTCCTTCTGGGTCTTCCTTACTTCTTCTTCCTCTTCTCCTGAACGCAGCGAGGACAGAACCTGCCAAGAGAAACGCACGCTTGGCTGGGGCCCCAGGAGGGCACACGCGGCTGTCCTGACTACCTGGGAGAGACAAGCACAGCCTTTCCAAGCCTCACTCCCCCCAAGGGCCCTGGCCCTCTCCCAGAAGCCCCTGCAGCTGCCCAAACTGTCACCTCTCTGCCAATGACATCAGAGGCAGCCAGCAAGCTCCTGAGTGAGGAGCCGAGCAGGCATGAGGAGCCAGCAAGTATCTGGTGTGCAGCAGGGTGACTCGGAGGGGCAGGTAATAAGCTCACTTAAGCCCAGCACCCTGACCACTAGGCCACACTGCCTCTCCAGCCAGGAGCCTGCCCTCCTATCGCTGCAACTGGGACCCAAACCTGCATGCTCTAGACCTGGAGGGCCGCCGCCGCCAAGCATGGGCCCGGGCAGGCCAGGCACCAGCAGCATGCTGCCCCCACCCACTCACTCACCATTTTCCTTTGGGCTTCGTGGTGAGATCCACACAAGCAAAGTGAAACCACTCAATGGGACACTGTCAGGGGAAGAAGACAGGGGCCGGCGTCAGCAGGGCCTTGCTTCCATCTACATCAGCCCCGCCCCAGCCCCGCGCCAGCTACTCACATCCGGGTTGTCACAGCCAATCATCTCTCCATAGGACACCTGGTGGCAGAGGCAGTAGGTGGGTTCATTGGGGTCCACAGGCATGTCCAGGACGTCTGAGGGGTGCACCGAGAGGATGGTTTCGGCAAACTCCGACCTAGGTGAGACAGAGCAAGACCCAAGGAGCCCAGAGAGAGCACCAGCGTATTCAGACCACAGGACCAGCTCCCTTCCCTCCCCCACCGCTTCCTGGGCCCCCCCCCACCCCAAGCTTCTTATTTGGTCTCTGGACGCCCGGCCCAAAGACGCCCTCGCCCATAAGTCCTGAGAACTACAAGTTTTAGAGGATTCTTAACAAGCACATCGAATCACTTGCGATTACCAAGTTTCAAAGTAAATTTACTCTTGTGTTTAATAAAAATCCAAGGCAATGACAGAATTAGGAAGCAGCCCTGTAAGGGCCATGAGAGCACAGCTCTTTCATTTTCCGAGTTCAGTTTTTCCAATTAGCACCATCTAACCAGCCCCACTCTGCAGCCAAAAGCCCTTTAAAGATCAGCAGATTCAGAATAAAGTGTTGCCGGGCTCCCTGTGAGCCGACCAAGGACCAGCCTGGGGAAAGCAGCACGCCTACATCTCTCTACTCCCTCGCTGACTGAACAGGAGCCAGGGCAGGAAAGGAGAGCCCACTTACCTGGGAAACACGCAATGGCGCCGGCTCCTCAGAGCTCCACCCTATCTGCCTGGGGTCTCCCAGACCCCCGGAATGTCTTCTGCCTGAATCCCCATCTCTGCCTCTTTGCCCCCCTAGATGATCACACCTGGGTCCACTACTCATCCCCATGCTGACCCAGGCTGCCCCCTGACTGCCCAGGGCTGTTCTGCCCTCCGGCCCTGCCTTTTGGAGATGGCCCAATCTCCTCGCCTCCCGGGCAGTGGCGGGGCCAGGAGTGGTCGTTGTCCCAACAGCAGACTCACAGACCTGCACCCCTGAAGCTCACATGCCTCCCCTCCCCTCAGTGCTTGGGGTGGGGGGAGGAGAAGGGGGCACTTCTCTTAAACCTGAAAGGGAGAATCACGCCCAGAAAGTAGGACTGGGCAATCAGGCCGAGGGCCAATCTTCCAAGCTCTCAGTCAGACAGAAGGGTTACCCCAACTACTTTACCTTCTGCTAACACTACAATAAAATAAAACTCAGAAGAGGACTGGCCTTCCCATTTTTTTTAATGGCCTATACATGACACCTGACAGCTTACAATCCAAAATCGTGATTGAAAAAAATTCAGCCTTGAGGCAGGGCAAGTCACATTCTAAAAGAAAGGACCCAGGGTTAGGGGTGAGGATGTCTACTTCTCAAAGGCCCTGATGCTGTTTTCAATGCCATTCCAGACACCAAAAATCCAGCCCCGCTGAAACAACCATGAGCCCGGTCCTCTCCTCTTCCGCATGCCAAGGCCGCCAAACTGAACCCTTCCCCCTCCCTAAACATGAGATGACGGGCTCCATCAGCCAGGTTCCAGAAGCCCCCAGCCCCCGAGTCGGTCCAGACCTCTCCCAGGATCATCGGCTCCACCAGCCAGCCCCACTAGCGCGTCATCAAAGGGACCAGATGAGGGATCGGGCGGCCCAGCCTGCCACGTGTGCTCCAGCCATCATGTGGTTCTCCCAATAAGTGAACCAAAAAATAAATAAAAATAAAAACAAACCAAAAAAAAAAACAATAAGTGAAGCAGATTCTGCTCACCCCTCAAACTTCAACCTACTGCTACTGCTCCAACCAAATTAAGTCCCTTTTCTGTAGGATTTTCCCTTAAGTCCTTGGGGAAAGAGGGCACAGAGAATCACACGGAATTTCCAAGCTGGAAGAAAGCCCAAGGACGCTCTGGTTCAACCCTTATCGGAAAAGATTCTCCCCACAGTCCCGCCACCCCAAGCCTTCTCCCCTCTAGGCTACACATTCCTGGTTCTTTCAACTAGAACCACAGAGGCCCAGAGGTGGAGGAAACCTCAGAGGCCTTGAAGAAGAGAGAACAAACATTTATTAGGCACCCACTCTATGCCACCATGGACCTCATCTGATTCATACACAGAAGGATGCCCTCAGCACCATCCCTCTGCCCTTGGCTAACAAGCAGGGATTCCCCAGCTCCCAGGGCAGCCCCACTGCTGCCCTCAGAGACAGTCTTCCCCTCCACCTGAGGCCAAATGCTCAAATGAGCCCAGGCCTAGCCACAGGAGCTTAACAGACCAAGTCCAATCCCTCTTCTACCAAACGGCCCTGCAAGCGTGTGGAGCCACCATCATGGCACCCACAAAGTCCATTCTCCAGGGGCCCTTCACCAGACTGGCCACCCTTGGCAACACACTTCCCAGCTGACGACTGTCTTTCCTCAGGGTCAATGCCACCGACTAAGCCCCACGCTCCCCGTGTGGTCTGGCCACGCAGAAAGGCGGCCCATCCCCGGCATCTCAGTGCAGCCTGCGCCTCCATGAGCTGAGGTCACCGTCACACTGTGACCCCGAGGGAACCTGGGAACCCTGAAAATGCCCAGATGTTTCCCAAACAAATCTCTCTTTACCAGTCTCCTTGAAGAGCCCTTGTGCGTAACCTGATTTAATTTCCTTTTCTGAATTTGTTCCCTTCACTCTAAGGTGCCACAATCCCACCATCCAGCTACCCCCCTGGCCTTGTGTCATGTGCTCAATAGGCACCAGGGTCTCCTGCAAAAATATTCCAGAGGGCAGTGCCAAGCTCAGCCCCAGCCTCCCTCCGCGCTGACCACTACCTAGCAGACCACCCGGGTCTGGCCATGCAGCAAGCTCCCAATCTGCCTGTCCAGGGCACCTGTTGGCCACAAGGAAAGGGGGAGAGCCTCTGCCCGATGCCTCCATGCCCCTCAGGCAGCGTGGCTTCGGTGCCCTCGACATCCCCGCCCAGCCCAGGGCTTCTGCGGAGCCTCAGGCTCGTGCAACTCATCCGCACTGGCTCACACGACCACAGCACACTACTGAAGACAGACGCCCGGGATGCAAGAGCAAGGTGCACAGCTTACCCGCCTTTCAGTTTCTTCTTCTTTGGAGTGTCCTCCTCCGATGTGCGCCTCCCGCGACCCCGGGAGCCTCTTTTCTCCTTCTGGCCCCGGCCCTCTGAAAGACAGCATTGGTACAAGTGATTACCGCGGCTTCTGAACGCACGGCCAACCCCCCGAGGAGTGGCATCCTTGGGCTTACTTTTCAGGCCTCTTCCTCCCGAACTCTCCAGATCACTGCCTTCCATCTTCTCCTTCAGATCAGCTTCAAAGCGTGCGAGATCCGCGTCCAGGCGGCGAATGTGTTTGTCCACCTGCACAAAAGTACACACACAAAGGTCACTCTGGAGCATGAGACCAGACAGATCCCACACACCACCAAGGTCCAGCAAGAAACATGTCAGGGAGCCTTGGACCAGGCTCACATGGGCCCATGGTTCCTCCAACCAACCCAGGACCCCCTCTGTAACCTGTGGACTTGCTCCCAGCCACCATGTTTGCAGCCCTCTGTCAGCTAGGCCAAGAGGCCTTTAGAGTTTGCATGGCTGTCCTTGAGTAAGACGCCCACTGCCAAGTTCATGTATGACTCCCCTTTCCATTACTGGGCCCTCTCTTAAAAGGCGATAGCCATCAGGATAAATAAGCAGTGGGACCCCCGGGAGCAGATGCAAGAGGTGGGCAAGGCTGGTGAAAGACTAAAGACGAAGTCACTGTGTGTGCTTAAAAAGACAAGAGCCTAAAAAAATGGCAAGATGAGAAGCACCTGGTGCCTCCACAGAGGCCAGACTAGAGACTGAAGGCACAACAGGACCCGAATAAGTGTGATTCACAGTGAACACAGCATGGGTAGGAGTCAATTAGCCCAAGAGATGAAGCCAATGACACAAACAGGGCTGCTCCTCCTGGGGGGTCACTACCGAAGGGCCACACCTGCCCCAGGGCTGCCCCACAGGAGAAACACGAGACCTTCTGGGTCCGCCAAGGGAACGGCTCCCAGAGATGCCTCGTTACTGTAAACTGGTGCCGAGGGCTCACTACTTCACAGCACGGGCAAGTGTGAGCACAGTTACGACAAACTAAATGTTAACGGGGGCAGCCGGCTGGCACAGTGAACAGAGCACCAGCCTAGCGTCAGGCCCCTGACACGTCCTAGCTGTGTCACCTTGAGCAAGTCCCTTAACCCTGACTGCCTTGATGAAAAAAATAATAATAGTAATGATAATAAATGTAACAATTGTTTAGAAAGAATTGTTTAAAAAAACAAAGGGAAGAATTGTTCCTATGTAATCTTCTCGACCAAGAATTGGAATTTACTGAAAAATTCTAAGGGAAAAGTCTCCCTGAGTGAAGGAGCACACTTCATTCAGATTAAGTTGAGGATTTCTTGATGTTTGGACTTTGTCACATAAAAGCCAAGTGTAAGAAAAAGTCTGTGTGCTTAGGAAGCCTGACAAACGAGAGGTGCAAAGTGAACCACAGACGTAAGAACAGACACTCCTCCCGGCACCTCGTGGCGCCCGCGGCGCGGCCTCACCATCTCGTAGGTCTGCATGGCCAGCTGCACCTTGTCGTCACTGTACTCCTTACATTTACTGTACGCGCTCTGGATCTTCTGCAGGTGCTCCACACGCTGCGCAGGAGACAGGTTCCTCACCGTGGAGATGTACTCAGCTGCCAGGATGTCGATCTCCGCTTTCTTGTCTGACAAAGAAATGGCGAGCGACGGACCGGTCGGCACAGGCGCCGCACCCCACCAGGCCGCGCCTCGGCTGAGCTCAGAGGTCCGGGCACTTTGGCGCCTGGCCGCCCCCTCACTACCCTCGCCTGCTCAGAAGCAACGCTCTTAGCAGCTGCTCCTTTATTTCAAAGAGATGACAAAAATTCACTAAACATTTCCGACCCTTGGTCCCTTTCTCACATCTTCACCTCTCAGCTCAAATTTCCATCCCACTGTTTTTCATTACACTCTCACTGTTCCTGATTCTCGTTGTACAGTAAAGGGTTGAACACAAATACTCACAAATTTAATTCTGAAATATCCCAGAAATGTTTGCCATTTTAGGAACCCCCCCCCACCCCCCAACACATACACACACACACACACACACACGCACATACATACACAAATACATATACACACATACACACTCTCCTTAAAGCCATGTGAATTCTTCCTACCGTCCAGGCCTTGTGACCATCACAGATAAGTGTCATCGTCACCCCCAACAGAACGTACACCCCTTCGGGTCAGGACCAATCTCACTTTTGGCCTACCTACCAGAGAGTCTGGTTGGCACATGGGAGGTGGCTAAGGAATGTTTGGTGACTGATCCATAATTTGACTGATACTTTTCAAGTCATCATCGCCTCCCACTGTCACTCTGGACTGCAAACAAGGGCTTTCAGCCTCGCATGTGCATGGCAACTCTCTCAGCCACCCAGGGCTAATCACTACATTGCCCCCTCCGCGCTATGCCAAGTCACCTAAACTCTGATAATATCAAATGACTAAGATTTGGGCCTAGGTTGAAAAGAAGTTAAATTAAGGCAAAAAGCAAAAATTTCCCAAGTCTTACTTGCAAAAGTTAAAATCAACTTTAAAAGCTAAGGGATTTTTTTAAAAAAATTAAGCTTCCTTAACACACCTCCCTTATGATGGACAAATCCTCCAACAATTCAAGTTGTGATGGGTGCTTCTGTGAGCTGGGGTGACTGAAATGAGGGGAGGAGGACCCCAAGGAGCTGAACCTTCGCTGCCGGCCTCGGTCACTAAACTTCATGGTGACAAAGGAGGTTTCATATTCCCTGCCCCTCTGGAGCTCACACTCCATCAGGGCATCCTTTAAACTCTCCCTCTCCCCTGAGGAGAGCTCAGTACCATGCAGCTGAGGGTCTCTTGGTATCCTGGCTGCTTACTGGAGTACCTGAACACACCTTCTGTTCTCTGATCCAGTTCACGCATCAGCTGGAAATTCCTTTGAAGTTCACATGGAAGATTTTCAATACCTGAAACACAAAGGTATTAAGGGCGCAAATGTTTCTCAAAAGCACAGCACAAAATCTGCAATCTAAGAAAACAAATGGGTCAGTCTTTTTTCGGGGGGGGGCCGCGCACGCACAAAGGGACAGGTGACGGAGACCAGAATGTTTTCTTGCTTCTAACGGATGGGTATCAATGTTGTGGTATTATGAGTATTATGTTTTCAATGGACTGAACTCTCTCCTTTCATAGATAACAGGATTTTCGCTTTGCAGACATGGATGCAGCCCAAGGAAAGATAGAAAGAAAGGCACATGCCCAGAATGTAAAAAGAGGAAAAAGAGATCAATGAGATGAGGAAGAGTCTGACAAGAGAGTTAGAGGCCAAGAGGTCTGAACCGAAAACTGATTAAAAGACCTGAGGGGAGGCTCATGGTGCCAAAAAGAAACAATGATGTCTACAACGCTTTTGGAAGGGAGTGAAGGCAATAGTGAAACACTGCTCCTGGTCCATCCCATTTGCCATCACGAATGCTCTGAGGTGACAGGGAACATTCTCCCCAAGCACTCCAATGAACAACCACGTAGACCCCCGGCTTCCTCGTCCAAGACCTCAGACGCACTCCAGATGTCAGTGGTTTATGGAAATGTGAAGGAGCAGAGGAGACGACAATGAAGGGGATGAAAAGGGGAACCAAAGGAGCCCAGAGTCACGTCTTCTGGAACGCGGAGAAAGCTCAGGCCGCTCCTCCGGTGACCACCCTCCCCTTCGCGTCAGCGAAGCTCCTTTCTGACAGTGCTATTCTGCACTCACTGCTTCTTGTGGTGCATCCAACACCTGGGCTCTCCCCGGAGACGTCATCAGACCGTAAGCTCTCTGTGTGTTTTCAGTCCAGAGGCTCGTGGCCGGGCTGGCCACAGGGGGAGGAGGAGTGCTCTGACCCCAGGAATTCCTGAAGACTAAGTCACAGAGAGGAGGGGCTCTGCGGCGGTGAAGGAAACACCCACAACACGGACAAAGCCACAGGCGCCCTAAGCGTGACAGAGCGACCGAGAGCTCCACACACATACGCTCTCTTTTCAAATAACGCATCGTGTCCCCAAACTGGCTGCAAGCAAACTGCGGATGATCCTGTTTCTTTCATATCATAGTTCTTCCCATTTTACAGACCCTCCTGAGGTAAACTAACTAAACTGGAGTCGGATCTTCTCTATGTGCCCGGAAATCAGAGTCACTTCAGAGCTGGAAAAGGCCTTAGGGTCCCTCCCCCTTAGAGGGCTGGGACTACAGAGTCCCAATCTCTCATCCTGTAGAGGAGAGAAGTGACAGAATGAAGAGAAGCCTCCTGAAGGCAGGCCCTGTTCCTTCTTTGTCCTTCTCTCCCCAGCACATGGAAGTACTTATCCCACAAACAGCCCCTGGGCCCCACCCAACCCAGAGTCAAGTGTGCAGAACACCCTGCTCCACACTGAAGAGGTGGGATACAAAGGCAAACAAGTCCCCTGGTCGTCCCCTTCTTACCCTTTATAATGCAGGAAGCACCCTACCAAGGATTATTCTTTTCATGTGAAAGGGAAGAGGTGGGGGGGGGGAGAGAATAAGCATTTATTAAGCATCCTACTATGTGCCGGGCACTGTGCTAAGGGCTTTACAAATATGATTTCTTCAGACACTCGATACTTACTAGCTGTGTGACCCTGGGCAAGTCACTTAACCCCAATTGCCTCACCAAAAAAAAAAAAATATATATATATATATATGATTTCTTCTCAGTTAAAAATGACTTGAAATTAGTTGACTGAGAGAATGCTATGCTGTTAACAGAAGTTTAGAAGCAACGTGGTGTTGGGGAAAAACGTCTAGAGGTAGCAGCGATGTTAGAGGTCATCTGGTCCAGCCCCCCCCCCCCCCGTTTTACAGACGAGGAGACTGAGGCCCTCCACAAGGAGTAACCGACCACGACCGTCCAGCTCCAAATCCCGGGCTCTCCCCATCAGCTCCGCTACTGCCAGCTGTTCAGAATAAACTGCCAGCATCAACGTCCCCGCCTTCAGATGTAAAGAGCACCTCTGCCACCGGCCGCGGACAGCCTCAGATATCGCAGGGCCGGCCGACAATCACCGCTGGGCACCAAGAACACGAGCCAAAAGAAGGAGGGGCCGCCCCCGGGGAGGCTGCGCCCCAACAGGGGTCAGAGGGAGGAGCGGGAGGGGGCTCCTGGGGAGACGGGTCTGGGGGCAGCAGGCACCCTCCGAGATCCCAGGTGCGGACCCTGGGCAGGTTCCTCTGGTCCTCGGGCTCCTCCGGTGTGACGGATCCCTAGGGAGCCGGGAAGCGCCACACCTGGCCTCTATGCAGGGGTGGGGGGAGGGATGAGGAACGCTGCTCTAGAATTCAGTTCAAGGGATGGCGGAAGGCGCCAGGCCCCGGGCTGGGGAGGGCAGCCCAGGTGTTCTGGGTATCTTGGGAGCCTAGGAACCCAAGCTCTGAATCGGAAGCCTGAGATGATCCCCCAGCTCCCTCCAAGCTCCCCCCCACCCCCGCATTCTAGATCTCAGACGCCTAGAACATTCTCTCAGCTCTAGATCACAGACCTACCCTCTCCCAGCTCCCTTTGGGGCCAGCATGCTCTCCCAGCTCTAGATCCATGATGCCCAGCGTGCTCCCCCTCCAGCTCTAGGCCCACGGACCTAGCACATTCCCCGACCCCCAGCTCCCAGTCCATGGACTGAGCCTCCCAGCGATTTCCCCGGGGTTCTAGACTCGGCGTGCTCTCCCCACTCGCCAGGGGGCGCCAGGAGCCGCCAGAGGGAGGGGCGAGCTCAAGAGACAGCAAGGGAGGGCGTGTCCCGCGGACAGTGACGCAGCCGAAGTTGCCTAGGATCGCCCAGGTCGCCATAGTGGCCAGAGCTCCGCCCCCAACTTACGTCACCTCGCTCCGCCTCCCGCCCTCTCTCTCTCCCTCCCTCCCCTCGCGGGAAGGTGACGCACCTCTTAATTCCCGCCGAGCCCGCCCTCCCGCCTCCCGCGCGCGCCCCCGCGGCCGCCCCTCCCCTCGCGCGCGCTCCCGCGGCCGCCCCCGACCCCGCCCCTCCCCCCCGACCCCCTCCCGCTCCGGGGCCACCCTTCCCCGCGAGCCCCCGCCCTCCCGAGCCCGGGCCGCTGCCCCCGCCGCGAGGCCCCGTGAAGCCCCAGCGGCGCGAGGCAGGGCGCCTCGCCGTGGGGCTCCAGCCCCGGCCCCGTCCCGGACCCAGGCGAGGAGCGGACTCACTGTCCAGGTAGTGCTCCAAGTACATGGCGGTCGCCATCTTCGTCCTGCGGCCCCGGCGGCGCGTGTGTGGGCGAGAGTGGGCGCGAGCGAGCGCGCGGGCATGAGAGCGAGGGGGCGGGGCGGCCTCGCTGTCGGGCCGCCGCAGCCTCATTCCCTATTCATGAGGGGCGCCCGCTGATTGGTCGGCGTGCTCGGCGCAGGGCAGGCCCCGCCCCTCGGCAGGCGGTGCCCCGCGGCGCGCGGGCATGGCCCGGGAGGGGCGCGCGGGCTCCGAGCAGGAGCGGAGCGAGCCGGCGAACCTTGCCCGCCAGCCCAGGGCGGGGGCTGGGGCTGCGGCTGGGGCTGGGGCTGGGGCTGGGGCTGGAGCCGGAGCCGGAGCCGCCCACGCCCCAGCCTGGTGGGCCTCCAGGCCGGGCTCGCCTCACCAAGGTCACCGGCCCCCGGGCGTGGGCTGCACGTGCCCTGGATGGACTTCAACCGGAGCTGGGAGGGAGAGCGGGAGGGGTCCGCAGAGGCTGCCCCCTCTGGGTGCAAAGGGAAACTGAGGCAGGGCTGGGCTTGGAGACCCTGAGCTGGAGGGATCTGCAGAAGCAGCCCCCTCTGGGTACAGAAGGGAAACTGAGGCAGGGCTGGGCTTGGAAACCCTGAGCTGGAGGGGTCTGCAGAGGAAGCCCCCTCTGGGTGCAAAGGGAAACTGAGGCACAGGCTAGGCTTGGAAACCCTGAGCTGGAGGGATCTGCAGAAGCAGCCCCCTCTGGGTACAGAAGGGAAACTGAGGCAGGGCTAGGCTTGGAAACCTGAGCTGGAGGGGTCTGCAGAGGCTGCCCCCTCTGGGTGCAAAGGGAAACTGAGGCAGGGCTGGGCTTGGAAACCCTGAGCTGGAGGGATCTGCAGAGGAAACCCCCTCTAGGTACAGAAGGGAAGCTGAGGCAGGGCTGTGCTTGGAGACCCTGAGCTGGAGGGGTCTGCAGAGGCTGCCCCCTCTGGGGGCAAAGGGAAACTGAGGCACAGGCTAGGCTTGGAGACCCTGAGCTGGAGGGATCTGCAGAGGCAGCCCCCTCTGGGTACAGAAGGGAAACTGAGGCAGGGCTGGGCTTGGA